ACTTAATAATACAAGTACAAGGAAGTCACTATGCTCAAAAGACCAATTTTCACTCTCAGCACAAAAAGCTCTTTCATTTCGTCACCAGAAGCACTACAGAAAGCATCCCACCTGCAAGTCCACTTGTCTCTCATTCAGCAAAGCCCTTGCCCTGAAGAGCACCTGTGCATGTGCTTGGAGTTCAGCATATGCCCAAGCAGTTTTCTTAAACAGATGATCTTTTTACTGTCCAGGCTAATTTAACTTTCCCTTTGCTCCTCCTGCTTCAGAAAGAAGAGAGCTCATCGCCACTGTAGAAAGTTGACCAGTCAAACCTGCAAGGGTGTTTTTTCCTGGGGCTCCTGCAATAGTCAAACCCCAGGTTTAATACTGCAGCCAGACACACTGAAGACACCTGCACTTTTACAACACATACGAATATGTTATGCCTGTGACCCCAGCTTAAGTGGCTGGCTACAGCAGCATGTGAAGCTTTGAACCACATGAGCAGAGCAGAGCTGCTGTGATACCCCAGCAGAGATGACTTTCCAACCCTAACTATTCTATGATTCTATACCATGCACTATGCTTCAATTAGCTTTCTTTTGCTGCTGCAGATGGAAAATGCCTGTCAGCAGCATTTGCCCCTGCTCACACGAAACACACGAGCATTAAAAGGCAGGATTAGTAGCATAGCTTCTCCAAGGCTGCATTCAGAGGTGACCTCACCTACATATCTCCTACTGCTTGCTCCTTTATTCCCAGGGCAGGAACACCAAACCTACCTCTGTGATGCTAACCTCAGGCTGATGGTCTCTTCAGAACTGTACTTTAACTCAAATTTTAGATTATAAATCCTTTCAGTGTTCAGTCCAGTGGTATCTGAGTCTTCAAAGGCTACTAAAATGTGCTTCAGAGCAGACTGACCAATCTTTACAGAAAATAAAAGCTGAAGAAGAAATTGTTGTTAGGATTTGGAATAGACTTGAATAGCAAATTCAGTAGGAAAAATGAAGTAAGAAATGTATGCCTTATACACTGTCATTACAAACCGCCAGATGAAAGCCTGCAGAATGGTCACCCATTTTTTAGTCTACTCACAGTGTCCAAGCAGCTTTGACATGCACTGGTGGCAATTTAGACAGTATTACTCATGTGGGCAGAGAAGCAAAGAATCAACTGAAAATTGGGGAAAATATTTGTAATTTATCCTTTAAAATACGGCAACTATTGCTACAGAGAGCAAACTATGCTTTTAACACACACAAACTGAATCATAGACTAAAATAATTTCATTTTACTAAAATAATTTCATTTTGAGATTGTGGCAAAAGTTTGCAAATTATGGCAACGGTTTTGTAACAAAGTATTACAGGAACTATGCATGTATGTTTTGGGGTAGCTAAATGCATGCATAAAGTCAGGATGAGCTTTCTAAAGCCAAATAGGGGATACAGTTGTACTGAAATTCATGGCAACTCTGTGGCTAGAATTTCTAACTAGCCTTACAAAAAAGCCCAAGCTTTTTTGCATTCTATACTAAGTCAAGATTACAAAGTCAGGCATTCAAGTTTGAGGTAATGTCAGAATTAAGGCTGTCTTTTCAACCTTAATTTGGCCCCTTGTAAGTATGAATTATGATATTGCCTTTAACTAGATGATCACACATTTTTTCCTATGCCTCATTCATAACTCATGATGGATGGTGCTCACTGAATAATGAAACTGTATTTTGTTTTTTCCTTGTGGTTCAAGGTGTGGCAGCCTGCCTTACTTACTGCATGCTATATTCTTCTCTGACAACCAAACTAATGATTCCTTCACAGAGTTTTCTATGCGGTTTATCATTACAGGTCCAACATACTCAACAAACATTACCAATTTAGGTTTACTGCAGTCCTCAAGGGAAAGGCTAGAGTTTTTTCTCTTAGTTTATCCATCTACAACCAATTTTCATTGCTTAGTTTTTCATCAAAGCTTTGCTTCCTTCATATTTGGTCTAGGCAGCTTTATCTGCAGCAGGTTTGTGGGGGTATTGACTACACATGGGAACCAAAGATGCAATCCTCTTGGGTAGTCAGGCCTGGAGAAAGTCAACAGATCAGGGATGTGCCACAAGATGGATCATTCCCAAAGTTGATAAACAATCTGGATAATTGCCTGTGCACCTCAGGGAAGTGCTACGTTGCATCAATGCTACCCTTCTTCCAAAGACCCATTTCCATAGCAAAAGAAAGTAGAGAAAAGTTTTCCAGACATGATTTTTTTTTTTTCCATAGACTTGCACTTGAAAATAGATGACTTGTTCTGTCAAAAAGTTTTCCACCAAAAAATTAGTTCCCCCAAGAGAAATACCTTTCAGGGACAATTTCAGCCACAGTGGTTGAAATTTGGCAAGCTTACAAGTGACTTTTACTTCAGTCATCATTCATCCATCATCTTTCTTAAGATTGATGGATTGTGTAATTCTAAAGGGAATGAACACAGTCTAGAAGAGTGAACTCTGGGTAACAGGCCCTGAAGTTATTTATATCATGGTTCATACATCATAGGCTGAATTTAATGCTCCAAAATGTTTTTTACTTCAAATACGATGATTCAAAGCTCATAGGTGGTGGAGAACTTTCTGATATCTGAGAAGACAAATTGAGTTCAAACATCTCGGAATACTATAAATTTCCTCAAACCAATGAAACCCACCACATTTTGTGTCACATATATTGCCTTTGGCTAGCACTGCCAACCTCAAGGACTTAACAGAGATCTAAGCTTGGTAGTCTATTATTTTTGAGGTGCTTAATATTCACAGGTTCACAGATATGAGGGATTACAATTTTAAGTGCCCCTATGCAGCAGCTCTGAAAGGGAGTCTTCTTTCACTTGGACATCTACCTGTGGATTCAGGTATGCAATTTTGATCTCTAATGTTTCTGTTCTCTGTATATTCTTACTACATTTCCAAGATCACCTAGAGTGACATGGTATTAGAAGAAAAACTTATCTTGAGCAGGTGCAAAACTTACTGAGAAAGAGGAATCTTTCCATCAACAGCCAGTTTTTGAGGCCTCAGACATTCAGTGGTGCAATAAATACAGCAGAGATGTTCAGAGTGTGCTTTAGCAGAATGTGTACGGCTGTGCGGCATTCTGGTATTTCTTATTTATATTTGACACATTCTTTCCATCAGAATGAATTCCTGAATTCAGTGAAGGAAACAATCCCTGTGAAATAAAAAAATTGCAAAAATGTCCTAGACTTAACAGCAGAGCACGAGTTATGCAAGTTCTTCATATGACAAACAAGTCAACAAGGTTTGTGCTTTGGGTTTCCCACCCTAAGCTGCAGTTGATAATCTGCCACAATGTGATGTCTGTCACTGCTGCTGCTGATGTTGGGAAGTACAGCCAGATTCCTTTGCACAGTCATTGTCCACCAGTACTTTCATGTGCTACCACAGCCTTCAGAAGCAGTGACTTTAAGCAGTTCCTAGCTCACTAAACGTAACTGATTCCACATTTTCTTTCCTTCCTGAGTTTTGAAAGCCTGTTGCAAATAACAGGTATCTTACCACCTTCAATAACAACCACCTATCACAACGAAGCCCTACTTATCCGTGGCTAAAGCAATCATGTTGCAGTATTACTGTGCATATATGACACACAGCTCAGGTCCAGTGGAAAGTAACATCCCTAACACAAGGCCACATGGCTACAGGAAATTTGCTTCCAAATTCTGCTAGTTTTGTGTGTCCTGTCCTCTCCCTCTGTGGGACCATCAGAGGAGCTCCTTCTTCTTTATCTGGCCACCTGTTTCCATGAACTTTCTAGCAATTTGCCTAGCTTTGAAATCTTTGCAACTCTGATCAACAAATTAAAAATTATTGAGAGGACACACAGTCACAAAGACAGTATCATCACAGAAGCCTTATTTTTGAAAGAAACCATCCAAAAAGCACACTGTTGAACTTGTGTATTGTATCTTATGATAATGTATACATAAATATATTTAACAAATGACTGCAGAGGCATGTCGTGAGTTGAGGAAGATCAGTTACCCCAAGAATTGTTCTGGAGCAGAAACATGCTGCTGGCGCAAACCAGTAGAACCTGGTTAAGTCATTAAAACTGCAGAAATCCTTTTAATAAAAATCACACACTAACATTAACCACCTTTGAAGGGCTCTGCATGTATTAAAAGAAATACATCTAAATACACTAATGAATAAATGTGATGAGAATACCAATATGTTTGGATCTTAAAGTTACTTTTTTATAAATAATTTCTTGCTGAAAATTATTCCATTCACTTGATTTTAACTCTAGGCAATTTTTCTGCCTACTGAAGTTCCTTCTTGATTGTCAGATAATTAAACAGAATCCTGTCAACTTTTAAACTATGGCTATTGTTTTGCAACTGAATTCCTCACACAAACAGGCATATGTTTAACTTTAAACATTTGCTTACGTGCCCTCCTGAAGCAAGACTTAAATGCTGCCTCTGGTACAACACTAATGGCTCAGCCCATCTATTGAGAACTTACAACTTGGAAATGCAGGATCAGGTCTTGTACTGGGAAAACAAGAAAAAAAATCCTCATGTAGAAATAATATCATCTACAGTTGACACTGGAAAACCTGAAAATGTATCATTCAAATGCCACCAATCCATCTAGAACTTCAAGAATCAGTCTGAAGAAACAGAAACAGTGGGATAATTTGATCTTTATTTAGGCCTATTTAAGAAAAGTTGCATCATATTCAGATAGTCTAACACTGCAAATAAGATTTTACTGGACTCAAAAAATTAACATCACTGATTTAAGGCAGCTGTTACATTAATATTTCCATCAGATTGAATTCTTCTTTGGATACATTCATGCAATTAACTTCTACTGTATTTTTACACTGTATTTTGAAATATATATTGTTTTGTTTCCCCACATTAGACCTATCTGGTTAAGCTTTTCTCAAGCAATACAGAGGATGGACTCATTGTTCTTCTTGCTGGAAGTGAAAAGATTTAATGACTTCATGATTTAATGACTTATTTGATGCAAGGAATGCACATGAGTGCCATGGTGATAAATATACATCTTATATGTGCATGTCACATGCAAGAATGGCGAGACAGGAATGATGTTGAAACATTATTATTATTCTTAGCTAAAATCATTTTCCCTCCATATAAAACCCCAAAATATCCTTGAACTGAGCAGACGGCCTATTAAACTTCCTCCTTTCCGAAAGATTCCTCTCCATGCCAACCTCTGTTGGTGATAAGAAATCTTCCGTGAAGCCTTAAACAATGCTCCATGTTGCCTCTATTTTTCAGTCCAATTTTGGCTTTTCTTTTCCTTCTTCAATACCTGAAAGCATATGGAGGACAGCCTTTAAAAACTCTCAATTAATAAAAATGAAGAGTTTACTTACAGAGGTTCTTCTAATGCATTAACCTTTCTTTTCCCTTTATTGCGCTTGTTTCTCCCCTATTTGGTCACTTGCATGTGTTACCTCACCTGCTGAGAACAAAAAGAGCATCTGCACACCTGATGGCAGTGGTTGTCCAGTAATGAACTGCTCAATCCTCCCTCCCACCAGAACATTTTCAAACCACCCTAACCCCCTGCTGCAGCCTCAGCCTTTGACGGTTGCAGGGGCTGGGAATAGTTAGTTCCCTTACCTCCTCTGCTTACCTACAAGCAAGAAAGATATATTTTATTATCTGAAGCTGAGCAGCTGACTTCATTTGAAAGCAGGTTTTTAAAATTGTGTTTCGGAATTCAGTAGCTTTAAGACCTCTCCATTTCAACATTGGATATTTAAATATTTGCAAGTACATCTCCCTTTTTGGAGAGTACAAGAATGAAGAAGCAAATGCTGTTGATAGGGTGCCTCTCTCTTCTTGTAACAGCCACGTAGAATTAGGAGCGCTCAACTCAGTGCAGCGCTCCTTAATGAACTTATCTTTGCTGCAGGACTTGCCTCTTTCCTATGCTGAGCGAAGTCTGGGCTGGGCAGCAGATGGTGTTTTTTCTGGCAATGAAAAGATTGAGCTTTTTCATATGCCTGTTCCTGGACAATGAATTACTATTGGTATCTGACAGAAGTATTGTTCTTCTAACTAAGCCCTCTCTGCCAGACATCTCAAATACAAATATTTCTTTTGGAGGTTTTCAGGACTGCTGCATGCTGGAAAAGAAAGACTTCTGAGCACTGAAGGCAGAAGAGCAGCAATGTTTGAGAATGCTGAGAGGAAAATCCATTCACTACTAAGACCACCTGCTAATGCAATATATCCATAGATAGCAGGTACACTGAAAGTCACCTGAAAAACACAGTTAAGTAATTCCCATATGGGAAACAATAAGACCCATCTGCAGCTAGAAACCACAACTGCAGAGCTGCCTTGCTGAAAGAAGCAACATGGAAACAAATGGGTCTGAAACTGCCAGCAGCCCAAGTACAATGGTCCTGGGTGTTGCTGGCAAACCAGCGTAATGGAAGAGCCACAGTTGAAAGTTTAACAACCAAAACAAGAGGCTGGGTCCAAAAGATTACAGTGGGTTTACAAGGCTGCTCCAGAGCCAATCCTGAGTCTTCTGCTTTCTGCTGCAAGGAACTTTTCCAATAGTTTTAAATGAGCTGGTTTATTTGCCTTTTAAAAGGAGCCTCATTCCTTTCTTCTGAAGCACTCTACTGCAGATGCAACAAATGGATTGGCAGGAATGCAGATACCCTCAAAACTGTGGACAGACACTGGCTTGTACAAAGGGCAAATTTTTCCTTGCCTACCATGTTTGTGGTTTAACTTTGACAAACTAACTGCAAATCATTGTGTCAGTAGTGAGGCTTTATTTAATGCATCTCCAGAGGAAAAGAAAAAACCTCCAAACCCCAAACTACCCACTCTAGCCCCAGAAATCTTCTCATGGCAGGCTGCTTTGATTTGCAAACTTACTGCTTAAAAGCCCCTTTTAAATGTATGATTTTCAAATAATATTTTCCCAAGTCTCGCATGGTGACAGACTGGCATTATTTTACATGTCTGCTGTTTGTAGTGTGCCTGCCACACACTTCAGGTTAGGTTATTATGAAGTGTTTCAAGCACAGCAAAGCAGCAGGTGACTCCTGGCATTTTCTCGTTTGCAAGTGCTTGAGCTATGAAGGACTTTGGATCAATATACTTTAAACAAACCAAGGAAATGATGGAGAGGATAATAAGGCCATGGTGAACCGTGGAAGAATTTGGAAGAATGACCTGACTGACGATAGCTCCTCTAGGTTTGAGTGCCACAAAACCCAGGGACTTCGTTATGCATGGAGATCTTCCACCATTTCTTATTCATGGACTTGGTAAGGACATGTGACTCTTTACCACATTATTATTCTCCATACAGGACTTATGTCAAGTGAAAATATTATTCCTTGTGGCTGCCTTTTTTTAGAAACTTCTTTCCTGAATTAACTGAAGTACATTAAATAGATGTGAATGCGACAACAAAATAAGAACTGGAACCACACTTGAATACTGTGACCAATGATTGCTGGTTCTAGAGCAAAAAGAAAAAGACACTTCAAAAGTCTTTAAGTAAAACTGCTTAACACACTTCAAGTAAACTCTTCACGAATGTCTAACATTAGGTTTTATCTAGTACTGGAGGACTTGTTAAAAAAGTTACTTGCACAATAAACTACCATATGAATTTATGGTGTATCAATAAGTGCACACTATATTTTCCAAAAGGGGATACGGGCTGTTCATATGGTCCCAACATGTTACAGGCCAAACAAATATAATGACAGAATTCCTACAGAGCACAGATTTCACCCCAGGTGTGATTTGCCACTGTGGTGATGCTGAACATTGTTTGCTTATTTTAGGCAATTTGATAAATGAAAAACATCTTTCATAGATTAAAGGAACTAACTTTAAATCTTGTGTTTGTCTTACTTTCCCTTTTCCTCTTCTCAGCAATGGGTGGCCTAGGCAGGGTAAATGATGTAGTCTGCACAGTTATGTTTACCCTGCACGAAGGTGATCTTTCGTTCTTACTATTTTACTGACGTGAACATGTTCATTTTCCTTGAGTAAATTTATAAGCAGAAAACACCTTATACCTGAAAATACTAAAAGGATATATTTCTATTTCAAAGTTTAAGCTTACCGTTAACAGCATTCTCACAGAACGATACTAGATTCTAGCTGCATCTAATGGGTTCATCATCTAGTAAGTGGGTTGTAAACCAAGTGGGTTGCAAACCTCTCAGGTAATTGCCGTCAGCTCTTTAATTAGTACTGGAAGTTATAAGAAAGAATGCCTATTCATAGCTCACCAGGCTTCCCAGCAGCCATTCCATTCATCCATCTGCTCTTAAGAGCAAGCAAACATGATGTTTCAGTGGAACTTCTATCATTCTCCTTTGTTTTAGCCAGCTTAAAACCTTCTCAACTTCCAGGGGAGCATACAAAAGGCCCAGTGGTGTATCTCATGAGTTAATATTCCTAAAACAATACTCACATTTTTGGGTATCCCAGATGTAGTTGTTCAAGACCTCTCCCACCAAGTAGAACATGTTAATTATTACAGTAACGGCTGCAAAAAATATTACTTTTACACCTGGGCTGAGGTGCTCAAGAAGCGGGTACACCCACACTCCTGTGACATGGTGAATCCAGCACACCCTGAAACAAAACAAAAATAACAAGTACTGACTCTTACAGCTCTGTTTCCCAGAAGTAGCTTGGGCTATAGGCTTAGCTGTAGTGCAACCTGAAAAGCAATTATCTGAAAGAACTGCAAGTTCAAGCTGAACTGGAGCACCTGGATGACATCCACCCAGAACAGACATCACAAACTATAAAACTGTGACTGATTTCCCACATTCTTACTGCTTTGTTTTACATTTTATATGAGTGCTCGGCCAACTTTCATATTCTGATGCAGGCAGGTATTTCCTTGCTGCGTTTGTATTTACAAGGAACACACACCCCTGTTTCCTGTGACAGCGTGAAAACTGCAGCACCCTCTGTTCCAAGCAGGTTCTTCATCCAAAGAGCATTCAGCACTCCCCAGGCTCTCCCACAGAACCCAACTCTCTGCTTTCTGCAGCACCCTTCTTTCATTTTGTACACGTCTGTGTTTCTGTGGCTTTTCCTCACCACACCTGGCAAGAGTGTCAGAGTTTTGGGGTTTGCCAGAAACATGGTTCAGCTTCTCTTTCAGAGAATAGTTTCTCCAAAACCTGTGTTTTAGGTTGCTCCTCCTTTTCTTTGTTACCTGGTATCATTTGGGATCTAATAATTTTTTCTCTAGGTATGATAAACATTAAAAAAAAAAAAGAAACAAAAAAAGAAACCACCTCATCAGTGAAATTCTGCTCAGCTCCACACTTACTACACAGTAAAGGAAAAGCAATGATAGTGGTTTGCTGGTGGCATAGAGATTTTTAGCATTCAGCTACAGGGGTGACTGTTCGTATGCTAACCCAAGAGATGGGGTGTCAGCTCTACTGCAGTGCAGTAAAGAAGCACTCTGGGTATGTGGTTTCCCTGTGTGTGACTGCATTGGACACCTGTACCCTCTGAAGGGACAGTTTCTGTGTTGAGACCTGATACATGTGGTGAGTGGTGAAGTAAGAGGGAGCAGAGTGAGTCCATACATTCCAGTAGGTGGAAGCTAAGAAAGGCAAACGCTGCCAAACAACAGAGCAAACATCACGGAGGCTAACCAGGAAAAGTGCTTAGTGGAGACAGGCTGGGGCCGTGAGCTGCTGGGCTCTTTTCAAGAATGTAAATCTCTTCCTTTCTGACCTGGCAATTTGAGAGAGAAGCTCACAGTGAAGCACAGCTAGAGAAGACTCAGCAGCTGCAGACTATTATTGCTGGGGATTTCCACATCCATATGATTTGCTTCACTTGCTAATAGTTCTATTTGTTTAAGGAAGACTTTTGATCACTAGATCAACAGTCATAGGCTCCTGAGGGGCAGAGACACAGAAGTCCACCCAAAACTGCTACCATAAATGCCTGTCACACAGAGAGTACAGAACCCCTGTTTAACAATTCTCCATTGCTCTGGAAATGTACATGGTTGTCATAGCTTCCCTCCTCCTTAGAAAAGCTTTTATTGCAGCCAAACCCTTAACAGTTAGACACTTCATGTAGGAATCTACATGTGTCAGTAAATTAATCTGCATGATCTAAATACAGATTAAAACCCTTTCTCCAAATGAGTTCACATATGGAAAATAATCTCTATACTTTACAGTTATTTTCCATAACACTCTTCTATGCCAGAATTAACCTAACAAGATAAAGGTATCTGAAAAAATAAAGGGTTCCTGTGTAACCCATGGTAATGGGATACCATCTTCCTCTTGATCAAAGAAAAAGGTGGGACAGTTAGGTAGAAGGTAATGAGTGCCCTCCACTCCCAGGTTGGCTTAGCAGGGAGTGCCTATTATTGCCTAATGTTCTTCAGTTCCATTTGCTTTTGTTTTATCATCATTCTGTGAAAAACAAGCTCCAAGGAAAAACTTGAAGAAAAGCCAGGGCTTCTTTTTCACTTATTTTCGCTATAGAGCACTATAAAGCGCCTTTACGGAGGGACTGTTTTCAAGTCCCTACTGCACCTACATAGCCAACTTCATGAACCAAGCAGGAGTGGCATTTACTAAAATCCATTTATGCTGGAAAGAGGAAATATTCTGCAAATCCATCCAATGAGTCACTGATGAGCTCCTGAATGTCAGTCATCTCTGGTTAGTTCAGAATCTTTGACTTCAGCTTATGCTCTCTGCTCTCTGCTGCCCAGCACAGGAGCTCATTGATTGCTGGGTGATACTGCTCGCGCATTCAGTGTAGCTGTTGTACGCCTGTCCCTGCTGCAGCCACACCATAGGAACTCATGCTTTGAGCAAATGAGGTACCGAATGCCACTCAGGAGACAACAGTCACAAACCCACCTGATCAGCAGCCCTGATCTTTCTTAAAATGGGCCACATGCTACATTGGGATGGAGTAATATTAGCCTTCTCTCCACTGAGCAGTGACACAATGACTATTCCTACATCGTCTTTACCACAGATGGGAGCAGCAAAGGGATGACTGCTGCCATGGAAACCTCACCTGATGGCCCTTCTTAGTGGGTTTGTTCCTGGTTCAATACAAGCTATCTTGATGCTGTACAATAAAGGGCTGATCAACCATAGGCATAAAGCTTCCACACAAGATTGCTGATTACTAATGTTAATGAATGCCTTCAACGTTGCAATTCTAGTAGTCATTATTCCTGTCCAACCTCGTTATTAGATAAGCACAAGGGAGCATGAATTAAGATTTACTTAGGAGTGCAAATCTAGATCCAATTTAAGACCCTGTTATTGAACAGGTATAAAAAATGGGTCGCTTAGATAAAAATAAATGGAGGAGGAAAAGTATAAGCTAAAACTGGACCGGCTACTTTTAAGAAGGCAAAATTAACTTGAACCTCCCTGTGGTTTGGATCCATGGCAGCCCATGTAGACTATATAACCACGTGTTTTCAAAGATGAATGTGTTACAGGTCATTGAGCTCATTTAGCCATTTTTTAGAACTGGTGAAAAAAACGCAGGAATGAAAATATTCACACATTGTATTCAGATTAAAAAGTCTGTGAAAAAAAGTGGTGATTTCAGAAGTTTTCAACCAGTTGGTGTAGAAATCAGAAAAAGCTATTTGAAAACACACAATATTGCTTCTTTTTAACAAGTCTGTCAAAAATTTGACTTTGTAAAATTTGACTTTGTTTTTCACTTCAAGAATACAGTAGATGTTGTGTATCTCTCCTATCAAAGTAATCAGGGGGAAGTGAAAACTAGGCAGAGAAGATACAAGTACATTTATTCTTTGACTATAGATCTTACGTTGATGAAGAAAAGTAACTACGAAAAGTTATCAGAACCTTGTGGTTTATGTATGCTCTACCTGTCACTTTGGGTAATGCAGCTGTTACAACAGCATGTGTACAACTTAGTCCTTGTAGAAGCAAGCTCAACATCTGCGTATAATGGTGGATAACTATGACACCCCAAATGATTTTGCAGTAGGAGACATTGCAGAAAATGGTTGCTTCTTCATGACGGCTGCTCTCAGCTGCAAGACTGAATGTACTTGCACAGGCATCACAGCATGATGTTGTGGTCTGAACTCTGAGAGTCTCCACCCATTTCCTGCCCAGGTTGAGTGCCTTCAACAAAGTCCACAGCGAAACAGCAATCAGTAGTATGTGTTCTGGAAGCAGAAACTATAAAATGAGGGCTCTGTAACTTCTCAAGAGCAGTGAGTGAGAGGACACAGAATAACAGTGCATGTCATAAAATGGCTGAAGAGCTCCCAGTGCTCTTCCTTATAACAGAAGAGCACTTCAACAGAACTCCGAAACAAGAAATTCGTATCTGACAATGGAAATACCTTTCTGAATGATACCTAACTAACCTCTGGAATGCTGTGCCCTATCTTTCAGTAATGTATCACTGAAACAAGGATTTTCAAAAAGTTTTCAAATATACAAGTTTGGAAGTCTACTTAGTCCACTCGTCTCTGCCATACAATGCAACTCCAGCAAGCTTCTGAAGTCAGGAGACTGTACAAGCAGTAAGAATGTGTACAGTTATGCTTAAGTGCAAAGAGTACAAGGTATATAAACCATTGAGAATGAAGGATCTAAGCATCTACTTTTTGACATAGGCTTTTGAAGAATATTTCCCTTACAAGCTGGTTATTCCAAAATGGCCTGCTAAATCTTCTCCTGAAGAATCTGACATCAGCTGTAGTTAGAGTCTGGATATGACTATTCTGATCTCCATGGCAGTTCATTTCTGGTTACTTCTTGCAGCAGCAAATCCTGTCCCGCATCTTCTGTGCTGTTTCCAGTGACTAGTGGAAAGGAAGGCTGAACCTTTAGTCCCAAACAAATCCTAAGCCATTTCACATTGTGGCTACTCTCTACCAAACAATACAACATGGGCATTTTCTTATGCATTTACATGATCTTTCCTAGCACCACTCTCTTCCTTTTCTACAGAAAGTGAGAACTTTACCCAGAACTATTAAACTGTGGAATGTCTCCCAGGGGAGGTGACTGGCTTACAGCAGCTGAGTCATTCAAAACTTCGACAAACAAATCATTCGTGTTCACAGAGTAGGGACCAAACCTGTGCCTTCAGAGGCAGGAGCACAATGACCCACACTAAACCTGTTCTACTTTTGGTTGCTTACACTGACTGATGCGAGGCACATTTTCATAAATCCTGGTATTTTTAGTTTCCTTTCCCCCCCAAAAAAACCCCCAGAGGACAGCTTGTGCTGCAGCCAACCAGAATTAAGATCTCAGCCACATTAAGATGCTGGGCTTCTTATGATACCAGCCAAGCAGTCCTAAATCACCTACACCAGGAAGGTACATAATTTGGACATTTTAAAGACTAAAAAATAGTTCAATAAACAGTCATCAGTTAGGAAATAACAGCAATCATCGCCTCTTGTTCCAGTTTCTTATGTTGGATTCTCTTCCATTCATCTGTGTGGTGCTGAACAACACACGGGTCATAGAACTGTGCTCCTAGTATGGAGTGGCTTATGCAGTCAGAAGAAGATGACTTCTGGAAAACTGCAGCTGCAAACAATGTCACATGCAAAACATACTCAGCATGATGTGGTGCTGGCATCCTCTGGGATGAACAAAGCTTAGCAGAAATTTGTGTTTATGTACAGGTAGCTAGAATGATGGAAACTCTGCAGATTTGCTGCAAGGTTGTCATCTTTGGAAGTCATCTATTCTGATAAACAATATTTCATTTTAAATATAGTAATGGTTGCTATGCCTTCTTGAGGTGTATTTTAAGGAGCTGCACAAGTAAGTGAGAATATATTATCCATGCATGTCATCTGTGATTGTACTGTTGCTTTGACTGAAACACTTGAGGATGTGGAGGTGGAGGGGAGCCAGAATGCATTAGTCCATAATGGCTATGTCAGACCTAACAGGCTGAGGATTCATGCAGCCTTCTCTTGCTGAAAGCACTTCAGTGCTCCCATCCTCCTTCTGGGTCAGGTACAGGGGATGCTAATGTTCTCCTGGACTATTTCTGCTGCTTCTACTTCTTCCTACTCTTTCCTGTTCTCAGTAGCTCTGGCTCCAACTCCTTCCTCCTCCTCTGCATTGTCTCATCTATCACCCACATCTCCCATCAGCTTTCCACTCTGATTTCAAAGCCTGTCTCTCTCTTTCCTCCCAGCTTTTCCTGCTTACATAATTTCAGCTTTCAAGCTGCTGACCTGTGAGTTGTACATTTCCTTATCCATTTCTCTTTTAACCCATAGTCCTATTTCATCTCTTTTGCCTGCCCCAAGGACTTCTCATTTGTTTTTTCCCAAACCACTGATTCCTGTGATCTCTATTGAACTTCTGTTCCCAGTGCTCACTTCCAAAAGCATTCACGACTCCCTCTGAACATACACATAGACCCTCAGCACACCCAGGCACAGTCATGATGTATCTCTCCTGCTCCATTGGCACCAACAACTGCAGAAATCCTTCTGGTTTCTCAATCCTACCCTTCTTTATTGATAAGGCTGTCAATTCCCACCAAGCTTCACACTCTGTAACTCTCCATCTCTCTCTTCTGAATGGCAAGGTTTGTCCTAGCAGTCTGCACCCTTACTCCTTTGCCAATGTTTGCTCTTCCTGATCTTCCTCTCCTTCTATGGAGAATCACTAGTGGAAATTCTACAGCAAGGCTGACAGCATTGATCTCAAGTTCATTCCAAATTCTCAGTGTACATTCCTTTCTTAAACTTGTTCAAGAAGAATTCAGTAAATTACCCCATCTAGATGCTCTCCCTCGGCAAATTTACAGAACTCTCCTAAAGTCACTTCAGGAGAAACTTATTTTCAAATGAAAGTTTAAAGCTACCTGAGCTCTTTAAATAGATTTACTGAAGAATGATGGAATGAATCTAGTCCAAGCTTGGCACACGTGGAGGCAGCTCCTTGTGGATTTGAGATAGCAACAAGAGAGCAGATCAAGTCTTTTGCTCCCAAACACATAGCCCAGCTACGTGACTGGTGCAGTGGAGTCAGGTTCTTAGGGTCTGTTTTCTTGGCATCCTCAAGCACTCAAAAGCAGAGGAACAAGAAAACCATTTTAAATAAACGTATTTGTCTCAGTTTATTTTAGGGACATATTAGGCTCTGATATTAGTTACCATGAGGTCATTCTTATTACAAGAAGCAACGCATTTCTGGTTCTTTTCTGTTCCTTGACAACGAACTCCATACACCCATTGGCAGTATTTTCTGGTAGTACTGGCAAGCTTTTGGGTTTTCTTAGCACTGCCTAGATTTAACAATTCAATACAAATTGTGACCTTTTCAAGCCATGCTAAATAAAGCCAATTGGCCATTCCTGTCTTATCCCATGGCCTGGATCCTGAAAGTCCATGTATGGTCTGCAACAGGCAATGCAAGTCTGAGAATGCTTTGCCTGGGCACAATTCCTTAAATGCAAGGGAGAGCTCTCCCCCACAGGGAGCGCATGAGCTAAGTGTGCCTACTCAAATGCTCTCTGATTGATAGAAGAAGGTTTTACTCAGATAAGGATGTTTCTCAGATAACATGTCTCTGAAAAATGCTCAGGGGATACGAAGTTCTTTAGCTATGTTCTTCCAACGTCAGTGATTCTATTCAGAATTGTTTGCCTTTTTTCTCATTTATCTAATATATATAATAAAAGCTTGCTATCCCACTATCTCTTTCACACATGAAAGATTCAGTCACGTATGAAATAAAACAGAAAGTCCCATCTGCTTGGAATTGAAAAAAAAATGCATTAAAAGAAACAAACTTAACAATATCCTCCTGTATGCTCCTTTACAGTACAAAGTGTGGCATGATACATAAGTCATGTAGCATGGTAAGAAGGTTTCAGCTGAGGTACAGAGAGAGCTCAAAATTCAAGGGCAAAACAGAGAATATCTGATTAGCAGCTGTCTGCAGTTTATACTGAGAGAGTTGCAGTGAAAAGCACTTACGCTGAGGGGAAAAATGATGTAGAGAGAAGGACAAATCTCAAGTGGCAGATCCGTAACTTCTAGGTAAAAAAGACATAACCCAAGAACTAAGCTCCAGCAGGGGACCCATGGACAACAGTGTGGTCACTTAACAGCAGGAAGATAGTGGACCTGAGGTGTGAAAGGTAGAGGATGAAAGATCTATCACTTTTCATATTTTATGGTAGATTTTCCTAACCTGTGAATGTGAGATACATAGTATTGATACCATTGAGCCAAGATTTGGCTTGCAGCCTCAAACAAATCTTGGATAGAGGCTTCAATAACACCTGCTGGCTGAAGACATGCAGAACTTGCAGATGATGGCACAGCATATCTTGTGTCTGCCTCCAGCCTTCCCCAAACACCTTCTTTCATAAGAGTAGAAGGAGAAATGAGCTGCAAGTGCAGAACTTAGCAAGATGACCTTTAGGCTGAGTAAGCAATTGTCTCAGACCAGCTTTAGAGAAATCACACCTTGAAAGATGAGTCATTTGAGTGTAGCCCTATCTGTTTGGAAATAATGTATGTGCAGCCAAAACCAATAAACAGCAAAAGCAAAGGGAGATGATCATAGGCTGTAACTGAGTATTCGCTTAGTAGTTGATTTCTTCATGCAGAATCTTCCTCCCCTGCTTTACTTGTCCTACAATTTCCTTTTACCTTGTACTTGTAGCTGTGGGATGTAGATGCACTGTAGTAGGCAGGATCAAGCCACATGAATATCACATTGATGCTGTAACACATTCTTAAAAGATTTTAAGACATCTCTGGTTTTATTTTACTTGCAGAACTGGATCATTTCCATTTTCTATTCCTACTGGATACTATTGCATGTGCCTACTCACATAATTCTGAGAAAACAGGAGTTGCCATAGGAGGTCAGATCACAGGTATAGTAACTCTGCCAACCTGTCTCTAAACACCCTTCAGAGGAAAGTCAGGAAATACCTCAGTTATGCATTATTATGTACGGGTTAAAAAAAACCAAACAACTTTCTCCTGAAGGAATCACTATGCGCCTTTTTGCTTGAGGTTGTCCTTATCTTACAATTACAAATACTTCTATTATTTAAGAAGCATGTGTATGTTTATAAAAGCAAATGGCAGAAGGTGACTGTTGTCCTGGGAGACAATACCCTACTTCAGCTGCGTTACTAGCATTTTATGGTCACTCGGTATGCGTGGATGTGTATGAAGAATGGCCTCTCTTGTTGGACCACTGAAGCAGTATGACAGTAGTGCCTTGAGCCTGTGTTCCTCACTCTGGTTTTCTCTCACTTGAGGGGTGGAAAAGCAAGTATTATCCACAATTTTGGAACATATCCTCTTTGCTGTGGGAAGGGTGTTGTGAGGTGAGAAGAAAAAATACTAGAAGTAAACAGGGGGTCATGAACTATTTGCAGGAAGGGTAAAGTATAGCTGGTATTAAAGGAGTATTGTAAACAAAACAAAAGTTTAGTGAAAAATAAAATGCTAGGATGACCAAAGTAAATTAACTCTGTCATGCAAGTCAGGTGCTTAAATAGAAACTGCCCAAAGACTTAATTTAATGTTGTGTAAGAAAGGTTATTTCTGTTTTAGTTTAATTTTTCGCAAACATTTGCATTTTTTAAAACAAACTTCAGAGTGTTTGGATTACTGGCTTATTTTGTAATCAATTTTACAGAAAGAATTTATGAACTAGTAAAGAAAAAAGATGGTGTTCTATCTTTTCTGTTGCCACTTAAATACTGATGCAGGAAATCATTTGACTATTCTCAATTTTATTTGATAGAACAAAAATCCTAAGCAATAAAACTAAGATCCAAGAAAAACATTTAGCTTGAAAAAAGGTTGAAAAATGTACCCTTGGAAAGACTACTGCTTACATGGGATTGTTCAACAAATTCCTGTTGTGTGAGGTTTGGCATATACTTTCTAAAAATATAAGCATCTGGGGAAACCAGACAAAGCCCAGGTCTTGGACCAAACGAGGCATGCAGCATGAATCTGTTAGCGATTATATCCATAATGAAATATGTGCCCAAATTTAGCAGTATAAAACCCCCAATACAATATGAAAACACAGCGTGTACAGCCCTTACCATAAAATATAGCCAACAGCAAAGGTGCACACCGCCGCCAGTCCACAGCTCCTGCTGGGATACTGATGATGTGTTGTTCTCATCTCGATTAATACAAAGGGCAAAACTGTTGTATGCTGAAAAAGACAAAACAACAGGGGAAAAACAGGTGATACAAATGATTCTCACTGCATTTCCATGCTAGTTCTACAATAAAAAACTTAATCACAAAAACCTGAAGTCAATTTCTTGATGGTTAGAAAGACAAGGTAAAATGACTCCACAAAGTCGATCAATAACCCAAACAATATTGTCACCATAATATCCAATTGTTTGAAAGAGCAGCAGAAATAAGTGAGCAGAATGTGCTTTTCCTTTTGTTTGGGAATCCAAGGCAGACACTCAGTGAGTAAAAAGGGGATATGGCATGAGGGGACATGGGGTGATAGTTGCTCTGTGATCTTTGCCACGTCACCTCGGTTATCTTGACCATTCAAGTTAGGAGGCATCGCATCTGATTTTCAGAGACTCTAAGCACAAACAATGCCAAATGAATGAATATAAATGGAGGTATGTAATGCTTCTGAGAATGAGATTGAAATGTATCTCAATCTGGGGACTTGAAAACAGGGGACGTATTTTCAAATGATAGCTTCAATACCTCTGTTCCTCCATCTGTAAGACAGGAGCAATTATCTTCCTCAGAAAGGTGTTGTGAATCTTAATTTGTTAGTTGTTGTGCAAAATGGTTTTAGATTCCCAAATGAAACATATGAAAGCCAAAGCTGTAAAAGCCATTTTCAGCCACTTGTCTTTATTTAGCTGTGAAACTCCTTATTTTGTCATTTTCCCATACACATTTTGTATACTGCCCCTTCTGAGAAGGTCTGTTCATCCAATTAATGTCAGCAGCATGAAAAATTGCATCTAGCCTGCCCCCAACACTCCATGTCTAGATTTCAGAGTGCTGGCAGGCATGAAAATATGCATAAGCGAAGAACAAATGTGCCAGGAAATAAACCCCATCATTTCTGAATACACAGCTCACCTAGGACCAACATTATTGGTGACTGCAGAAACATACGCTGCCTTGCAACCATGGGGCCAAATTACTCCCGGTGTCCAAAGGGAATTACTTCAGTTGAGAGCTTGGCTCTGGGTTTGGTGTGACTGTGATTGTGAACTCTCCTGCCCAGTCTACAGGGATGTCTGCAGGTGTACTACCACAAGGGCAGCCTAAGCACTAAACCAGGTTCAATCCTTCCCCAAACACTTGATCACCAAATGGAAAAGAAGGTTACGGCTTACGCTGGCCATGTTCTGCCATCAGATGTGCACATGTAGTTCTGGGGGGAGCTGGAGGGCTGGATTTGTAAGTTTGTAATAATTAATAATTAATGCTGTAAATCCACACTGATTTTCATCAACATGAAGACAGGACAGGCATGGAATAGAAATATCCTTGCGTGGATAACAGATCCAAATGAGAGGAAACAGAGTGGGGTCTCAGCCTTTAACAACTGAGGAGAAGGAAGAAGTGCTTGAATGGGAAATGATAAGGTAATGGAAATGCCCTGTCTCAGAGATATAACATGATTTTAATTGGATAACTGCTCTGATTTTCAAGGCATTAGTAATTAATGACTAGCATTTGGCAAATGTCAGGTGGATAATACAGCAGTTAGGGGAGCTTTCAATTTCTTCATCTCTTAACAACTTGTTCCGCCCCCATCCCTTTAAACAGTATAAATCAGCATCAAGGGAATGCAAAGATGTTTTACATTTGGTTTGTGATAGAGGTGCCCACTATTAGATGAGAGGTCTATAAACTGTGCAGGACTTTAAGAGTCCATTAACAGGGCCTGACAGCAAAGCAAGCCCTGGAGATTCACCTGTACGACTTGCAGCTGTATGGAAAAGGTCTTCAGACAGAGATCAGTACCTCACTCTGCACAGCCCACAAAACAGGGTAGCTGGAACCTGTGCAAGTATCTCCTGCCCTGCCTCCATAACTTCTTCAGAGAAAAAAATAGAAGGCAAAAAGACTATTAACTCCAACCCTGACCATTGATATTCCTTGTAGGACATATTCTTGTGATCCAGTCACTTAGTCTTAACTCTGCACTATATGGATGATGGTTACAGAACTTATGAGCTCTGTTTCTCAAGTGAAATCTTTACCACTTTAGATACTGCTTGTTGATGCACTCTTCATTGATGAAACAGCTTGCCAATTAAAAAGTAGTTAAAACAATTTCAGCAATCAGCCCTTAGTATAGGTGCTTTTCTCCTTTCCCTCCTCCCAGTTCCTGTGGTTATATAATAAAATAGGTAATTATTTCCCTAAATTCTCACTTCTACTCTTTCCTAAAGGTAAAGGGGGGAGAGGGGAAGGGGGAAGAGAGGATAATGAGCTGCATCACTGAAGAGTTTGTATACAAAATCCTGTTAAAAGTACAGTGCAATTAAAGGTCTAAGGAGAAAATCAGATGTATATCTTTAATCTTAGTCTGTTATAGCAAATGTCCCATGTAATGTACCTGCAAACATTGCAGTTTTACAGATCCAGAGTATGAACTTTGGTTTAAATGCTGCAGTGAATCTGACACTCTAAAAAGCTGTTTCAGTGCTCTACCCAAACTACAACCAAGATAAAATTTGCCTTTCCTACATTTCAGCCCCTCCAAAAACCTTAATTTAAAAACCATGAAATCTGTAGGCAGGGATACCTTCTGTCAAACAGTGCCAATTAAAACTCTGGAGCTATAAATACCAAATTTGAATCAGACTGGCACCTGGACTGAAGCCTAGTTAAGGTGAGCAGGGGTCAAACATGCTTGGAGTGGTATCCATCAGGGCTAGAAAAGCTGCAGGAGACCAGAAATTTCATACTCTCTCATGTTTTTGCTATCAGACTTCTGAATAAACTTGGGCCAGAGGGAATCTGAGGCTTAGAGAGAAAATACCACTGATGCTTCCTCGACCTGTTTGTTGAAGATCACGCTGTGCTGATCAAAGATGCCTGAATGATATCACTGTGACTGATCCCTTCTACTTACTGGCAGGCTAAAGGGCAGCACAGCATTTCTCACCTTGTTTGTCTAAGCACATTCCCAAGATCCCACCACCTACAAGTGAGGAAGAAATCTGGCTTGACAAATCTTCAGCTGCTGCTAACAATGCATTGAAACAGAGAGAAACCAGATCGACATGCAGAGGCTGGCTGGAATTTGGAGAAAGGTTATCATACGGAGAATTTGATCCAGGAAACACTCCAGAGACCGACTTCAGTCAGAGACTGACTTCAGTCTCTAATTGAAGCTGAATTAGCACACACTGCAAAAAAGCCACCCCAGGAGCTGCAAGTGGATTAATTTCTATAACAATTGCCACTGCTTCCTGAGAGAAACTCTGCTCATCAGTAACTCTTTAAAAAGATAACATTAAAATACATACCCCTCTCACCCCTCCATGGTATATACGTGTCTAATGACATTTGGGACTGGTAAATCACATTACAAATAGGCAGCACATCTGTAGTGTTGGCTTGAGAAGTTCAGCTTTGATGGAGGACTGTGCTTCCCTATTTTAGGTGTGTGCTACAGCAGTTAGTTGGAAAAAAAGATTTTATGCAAATCAGGTACAGTAAGTTCTGCAATAGTCTTTAGGCAAATTAAGTGCTCATTCTTGAAAGACTGATTATATATTTTATCTTCCAACAAGTAAGTGCTGCTTTTTTTAACACTGTTTTCATTAATACCTTGCTTGGCCTTTTCTCTTCCCTTAGTTTTAAAGGGAATGTTAAAGCATTTTAAAAGGTGCTAAATTGACAGCTTTGTGTATTGCTATCTTCTGTCCTTAGCACAAACACATCAGTGCTATCTTCCCAAGTCACCCAGTCTTGATCTGCAGAGACTGTCCAGAACTACCTTTACAACAAGGATTTTAGTCTAAAAAAACATCTGCTTTCCCTGATGCCCAGTCGGTACACAAAAGTTCTGCAGGGATCATGAAACCATTTGGGTATCACATAAATTGTAATTATAATTCACTTCAATGAACAGAAGACTGCGACTTGCTACTCAATTTGATCAGACTAAAAACTGCAAGGTAGAGCACATTTTAGTTCAATATAAATACTAGGGACCTCTATTGAGAGGGCTTCACAGCGCGCCATTCAGCCCATGCTCGTTGGAGTCATTGAAAGCCCATTGACAACAAAAGGAAATCTTGCAGCTTTAATGTCACCAACATCTTAGCTGGTGGACTGGGAGGCTCCTGGAAGTGCTGGCACTCTCTGCAACAAGGAAGCTGAAGATAAGTCTTCACCCAGAGTACCTGTGCAGCCAGGGAGCTGGAGGGCTCACTCCCCACTCAAAGCTGTGTCTGCATCAAAGCCTCTGCTCTGGCCGGGGCAGCTGCTCCAACATCTGCTGGGAAACTGCCCTGCAGCACACTGCCACCATGCCCGAGACATACGCTGGTACGAATTTGATGGAGGTCCCCTTCTTTTCACCCTGCTGTGTGAACTGTTGCAAACTGCCACATGTGCTGGCTGCCTCTGCTTTCCGTCTTTCTAACATTCCTCTAAAGAATCTAGCTTCCACCAGTAGGATGTTATCCTTCCCTTTTTTTTTCTGAATTCACAACCAGATTAGGCATTGTTAAACAGCTGCTGCATGTCAGAACGAGTGAAGCAATCTGTCTGCATCTCCTTTTACCTTTCAGGTAGAAAGCACCTTGAGATTAAAGAAACAACCAGCAAAATGACCGTTCTTCTTAATTTAAAATCACTACTGGTGTATTCACCTTAGGAACCGATACTAATAGGCCTAAAAATCCCTACAGCTGTAGTCAGGGCCATTTGTAGAGTAATAGCAGTAATAAAGCTGCATTTTCTGCATGCTCCTAGAAGAATAACATGGAGAACCAGATCAGAAACTAGTAAACCAAGGAGCACCACTATGATTTACTTGTTGAGAAACTTCTGGGAAAGAACAGCTGGCAAGAGAGTATTTATGTGTCATCTGAAGGATGATACCTTCCACCAAGGCAGCCTAATCCATAAAGAGAGCAGCAGGATATCAGAGCTGGGTGCATAATAAATTGGAATCCTTGAGTGAGTCTGAGCCCTTCTGAGACTGAAAGCGCTGGTAGCACTTTTCCTCTTACAAATGAGAAATTATGACTATTAACTGAGACATGCTGATGCACAGGATGCACTCCAAGGCAGCCACAGATGGCTCGTTAATTGTTATTGTAGGTTGGAAGGAGGAAGAAGTATTGTATGAGCTAAACAAAGACCAATACCCTATAATGCCACAAAACACACAAGAGCCAGAGATAACCATTTTCAATCAATATAAGACTGCAATGTTCTTTGAAAAGAAAATTAACACTTCTTCTTTAATGTTACCCCTCTTTTCTGTAGATAAATAGAGTGGACATGGCATACCTTAGTTAATAGGAACTGTATCACTTTCTCCACACATACCTAATGTTGACAGATTTGTTCTGGTTGTTTATGATGCCTGAAGTACATACTACATATTGAAATAGCAGTGCCAATCTGATCTCAGCCCTGTGACTGTACTAGTGTCAGGGAGGTTATATATAGGTGTTTATCTGTAGAATTTCCACAGTGCTCCTCACTGAAGCATTTCAGCACCTCAGAAGCGTTGCTAAACATACTCTCACAGCAGCCCTGATCTGCAGGGGTAGGATATCCTATCCACATTTTGGAGGAGGGCAAGATGGAGATGAAATGCCTCACTTGAGGTCATGTAGGGTAGCTATGGAGGAATGGAGAACCACATCACATTCCTCAGTTCCATTCCTGCATGTCAGCCTAAGATGAGCAAGCATCAAACTTGCAGTAGTAACAAAATTTGAAGTAACAAAATTTTGGTATGAAAGCCTACCTCCTCATTCAAGTTTATAGTTTTGAGACATTTTGGCCCATTCAGCAGGTGTCAGCTTTTACCTTGATTGCCCCTCTATCCTGGTTCCCTTCTGCTTTTGGACGCTTCTTCACTTGCCTCCCTCTGAGATGTCTCTCTTCCATCTGAGCTCCTGCTGCTTCAAGCTGCTTCCTTGTAACTCCCATCCTACCAGCCCAAGTGATGCCTCTGTGCTCTCCTGGCCCTGATTCAGCAGCTCCCAGGGCAACACATCCTTGCTTCCATGCTGGCCTCTTTCAATCACTGCAGGTCTCCCCCTCACATCCATCAGTACATTTGGCAGACACAGATAATGCCTTAACACATCAAAATCTTGGTCACTTGGACTGGAAACAAGATGATGGCAGGGATGGGACAGGATGGTATGGGGCATATCTGGAATAGCAAAACTGCAAAACCAGTGCTGCATTGCCAAGTATAACAGCATTCCTACATGTTTAATTTTCTTTAACTTTCAATTTTCTATTAACGTCAAAATAACTGCTTTTAATGCACGTCATATAGCCAGATATCATTAAACACATGCCAAGTCCAATGCCACATAAGTCACCTCTCTCCTTTTGCTGGGATCCCTTCGCTAGTCTTTCTGTTCTTTCTGTGCCATGCCCAAAGTCCCCAGTCAACTCCTGGTGGTGTGCACTCAGGTTCTTCGCACTCAGCCACAGCTGAGCAAACCCTGCAGACCCCAATTTACTTTCAACCTCAAGTCCTTATTTTTGCCACAAAATCTTTAGGAAAAACTCACCACTAACAGTAGGGAACACAGACACACGTACATCCTGTCCAAGGACCACTCATTAATCACAATGTTATACAAAGTAATTTTTCTATATATTTTGTTCAGATTATTTGCTTCTTACCAGTTAAAACCCACTTGCACTAGAATTTCTTAAGCTACTATTTGCAATAAGGTTTATCTAGGCAAAGAAATACATTCTTGTAATTATAATTATCCTTAAAATCAATGTTTATACACACGTACCTACATGTATCACCAAGATTTCATTTGCATGAATGAATGTTGACTGTTTATGCAGGTCATGCTGAAAAAGTGCTAATAAAGTTATCGAGCCTCACGGATTCCTAGCACAAAAATCTCTAAAGAAAGCTTGCAGATGTATTTTAGCAATGGTTTAGAACAATTTTACTCATACGGAAAACAGTACTCCTCTCCTTGAAAGGCCAACTCCTTCTATATCATGAACCCATATCTCAAAAGGAGAAAAAAATTTTACACCAATTTTTTCTAAATCTCTTTAGCTGACTTGAAAAATTTATCTGTACATAATACGTGCCATGTTCAATTCTAATATCTGGCAATCTCCCAGGACTAGCACTAAGGCTTTCACAGAAGGATATTTTTGGCTTCACGATAGCCAAAGTATCCTCTTTCTAACCTGAAGACACTGGACTCTGAATCTGTCACTGGTCCAGCACTGAATATTGCTTGTCCTGGGCTTTGGGCCAGTATAATTTGAGGAAAGAAATTCCAGATTTGGGAAAATCAAAACCCCATTATTTGGCAGTTTCCTTTTCAAATGGTGGCTCTTTGACACTATTTGGAAATTTAAAATCTTGGAAGTGGTTACTGAGGAGATGGATTTATTGGGTGTTGTGCAGGTGAGGTAGCCAAAGGTCAAACTTTGATCTGTCACAATGACTGCAACTATCTGGAACTTGATACAAACAATTTATCTCACAGATGTTGTCATTATCTTTATTTATTTATTTATATTGTACAAGCAAACTCCTTTAATAAATAACTCTAGAGGATGTAACCTCCTAAGCTTTTTTGTTCTCATATTACAGAAAGCAGTAGCAAACTAACATCAGCATGCACCCAGCCAGCTGTCTGTAACCAGTTTTGCCCGAGGCGCATTGTCCTGTGTCTTCTAAACAGCATGTACTCTACTGCAAGGCAGAGGTGCATGAGGGAAGAGCTACTCAAGTGACAGTGCACATGCCCCTGGCCAAAGAGCTGCATGAGCATCAGCTCCGCACTCCTCCAGCCTGCACAACGATGCAGGGCTAAGCTGTGTGGCAGCAGCGGGACACCAGCAGCTACTGCCGACTGACCTGATGACCATGGCCAGGCACCAGAGCAGCTCTTAGCTGTGTACTAAGCTCTGCTGACAGCACCTGCAGCAGGAAAAAAACACTGCTGGTCTTGTGCTCTGTGCTCAGGATGCAAAAGCCAGGCCAAAGCAGGGTCTAGAGGCACCACAGTATTAGTAAGACCAGGAGTGATGTGCTTTTGGTGGGTACATAAGGCACTGACATGTGCTGGGGTGCAGGGAAGAGAAGATATGTGGTGGGAGCGTAGGGAAGGCAGGAGGCATGGGCTGCGGTCCTGCATTTGTGGAGGGGTAGATGGGGCAGCAGGTATGGTTGGAAAACTTGTTGAGGGGGAAAATGAGTTCGTGCAGGAAGGCAGAGGAATAAAGACAAAGGTGCAGCCCTGCTTGTGTGTCTCCTAGAGCTGCTTCTTCTCTGCAAAGAAGGCATGTAAGCAAGCAAGCCTGGGGAACATCCTGAACTTTTGCGATGTCTTCAGTCATGAAAACACAGACATTCCCTACCTGTTTTACCTGCTATATGATATACTTTATTTAGGAGAATCATTCTGCTTCAAATACAGTTAGTTCTAAATGCTCTTGTTCACGTTAAAACAATCGTTATTTTGATTGATAGTAAATGCCTACACAACACAGTAAAGGCAGCAATGTCGGACAAAAAGACATTACAAAATCTATAACCCGACCCTTTAAAATCTGACTTGAACCATCAGATTTTACTTACTAGACTAGTTACAATAGTGCTTCATGCAAAAAGCATTAGGTTAATGCTGGATCAGGCAAAGCTGCCAAACACACCCTGGCATAATTAATCAAGAATATTTCAAAACCAGATCACCTCCAAGAGGTTATTGATTTCCTGTCATGACACGTTTTCCTCATGAGGTGCTACAATGCTATGTATGTGAGATGTGCTGGCGTGTATTTTTCAGTGACTAAGCCTTGATCTATCTTCCTGGATTCCTGCCACTGGTGCACTGACATCTGCAACTACTCATGTTTGACAGTCTCATGCATGAGCTATGTGGCTTCCAACTTGGATGGGATTAGTATAGGAGACTTTCTGAATACTTCAAATGTAATTGAAAGCAGATAAATACAAGGGTCTCAAGAGGGTGGCATACTTCTTACAAATGGAATCACATTAAATCACACGTACACATGTTTAGACTGAGAAAGATCTCAGTGTTAACCAGTATAGTATGCAAGAAAGTGTTTGCCCTTGCTCTTAAGTATGTATGAATCCTGATAATGTCACATCTTCCTAAAATCTAAATATACTGCACGGCTGAAGTGTGGTTTAGACAAATGTTAAAAGGTACATGTGGGGAGAAGAGTTGGGGAAGAGAAACATATTCAGAGACTGTCAGTTGTTTTGCCTTTAACCCATGCTCTAACTATGATATCCATGCCTTCTGTGAACCACCTCTGCCAAGTGATGAGAGTTGAAGACAAAATATACATTGTGTAACACAACATTGTACTGTTCCAGTGTCAAATGTCAGAAAATAAGAAATTGTACTTTCTTTAAGAGCAAAATTCAACAACATTCCTTAAATATTTCTATTTACCCGTTTTTCTTGGTAAATGTGGACATTGATCATAGATATTGTAGTCTGTAAATGTACTTCTGTACATATTTACTGTAAAATAGAGGATGTAAATAAAACTGACATTAATGCTGCTTACAGTGCTGTACATTTCCTTAATTTTTTAGACTCTGAACTCTGCAAACATATGTAATCTTGCTTTAATGCAGATAATGCAGAGCTCGATAAATCTTTTAATGGGAAATGGCCTGCTATTTCCTGCTGTCAAATACCTGTTTGAGGATTGCAGTGATTGATGGGCAATATATGAGCATCACAAAAGGACAGCGATACTGAACATATGTCATATCAAAGGGCTCCAAGATGATCAGATTGCAGTGGAGCTGCTATACCCATACTATCAAAACTATGGGCTTCTTTGGCTTGTCTTGCAGAGCCTGGCCTGATTTTTTTCTATTCAGCTTAACTTTGATATGCCTGTCACAGCTTCCCTCACTAACAGCTCTTTCCCCAGCTAGGCTGATTTCAGTGAACTAACAGTGACCTACATGGCTCTTCTATTTTGGATGTGAAAACAGAAGAGCTGTAGATGAGATACGAATTCTTCGTACCACATGGTAGCATTTTTCATAGCAAGGAGGGGAGCAGAACTGCCACATGTGTAAGGTCAGTGGTTCCTGGCAGAGCAGTAGGTGAGTGGGAGGGTTGCAATTGGATGAGGTCTCATGTCTCCTATTCTGGAGAATCCTGGAGGAAAGAGGGCTTCTTACTCTGCCTGGTATCACAGCTCCTGTCATGGAATAAAGTCCTTGAGAACTTCTGCTCCAGCCTCCCAGCAACAGAAATCAGCTGAGATCTTAAGTAGTTAGCATGAGGTACCCCTTGGTCTCCTGCTCAGGACCCTGACAAATGTGGTCTGAGAAGTTCATCAGCTTGGTGATACTTGTGTCATAATGCATTTTTCTGGTACTAGAAAATTTATCTGTATTTCCCTTTTGTCACAGGGATTCAAGACAGAACTTCCTTTGCAGCACCTGCTCATAAAGCTGTGCAATCAGTTATCTGCAAAATTTTGCCATGTATCTTTCAGCTGGTCTGATCTCTTCCATGCTGGGGGATGGATGCCAGTATTGGGGCTGAGGTCACCCACATATGCAAGTGGTTCACGACACTTTCTTTAAACACAAGAAACATCTTTTTTAACTGTGACGATGATCCTCAATGAAAGTGGTTACCCAGAGAGGTTGTGGAGTCTCCTGCCTTGGTGATATTCAAAATCTGACTGGACACTGTCCCAGGCCACTGGCTCTAGCTGACCCTGCTTGAGCAGGGGAGTTGGACAAGACGATCTCCACAGTTGCCTTCCCACCTCAGCAGCTCTGTGACTCTATGACCCTATGTTCCTAATAGCCTGGCTGTTATGGTCATCAGCCTTTATAGTCAGTCTCGTCAGCCCTCAGTACATCTTCTTCCATCTCTGCTCACTGGCCAAGGCTGGTTCTGTAAAAAGTTGCTGCATTT